GAATGCTTCCAGTTTTTCTCCATTTAGAATGATGTTGGCTGTGGGTTTGTCCAGTTCCCTCTAATATTTTGAACATAAATGCCCCATGCTGAATTTTGTCAAAAGCCTTTTCTGCATCTATTGAGATGACAATGTGGTTTTTGTCTTTGAGTCCATGTATATGATTAATGACGCATCCCTGCATCTCTGGGATAAAGCTACTTGTTCATGGTGAATGATCTTTTTGATGAGGTTTGCAAGTATTTTGTTGAGAATTTTTGCATCTATGTTCATTAAGGATATGGGTCTATGGTTTTCTTTTTTGGTTGTGTCTTTACCCAGTTTGGGCTTCATAGAAGGAATTTGGGAGTTCTCCCTCTGTTTCTATCATTTTGAATACTTTAGTGTTGGTTGGAGGTCTTCTTCAAATGTCTGGTAGAATTCTGTAAATCCACCTGGGCCTGGGCTTTTATTAGTTGGGAGGCTTTGTATTACTGTTTCAATTTCCTTATATGTTATGGGTCTGTTTAAACTGTTGATCTCTTCTTGGTTTAACTTTGGTGGTTCCCATGATTTCAGATATCTATCCATTTCTTTTAGACTTTCAGATTTAGTAGTGTATAGGTTTTAAAAATATTCCCTTATAATGGTCTGGATCTTTTGGGTGTCTGTTGTGATGTTTCCCCTTTCTGATTTTGTTGATTTGGATTTTCTCTCTTTCTTTTGGTTAACTGGGCTAAGTGTCTGTCATTTAGCTTTTCAAAAATGAGCTCTTAGATTCATTGATTCTTTGTATTGTTTTCTTTGTTTCTAGTTCATTAATTTCTGCTCTGATTTTTGTTATTTCTTCTCTTCTGTGGAGTTTGGGTTTCATTTGTTCTTGCCTTTCCAGTGCCTTGACTTTTAGTGTTAATGTCCTAGAGGTTGTATTGTGTTGTATTGTCCTTTTCGTTGAATTCCAGGAATTCTTTTATTTCTTTCCTAATTTCTCCTTTGACCCACTCATTGTTTAGGAGTGTGTTATTCAATCACCATGAATTCTTGTAGTGAATAGGGCTTTGGCCAGTGTTGACCTTGAGTTTTGTTGCTTTGTGGTCTGATAGAATGCATAGAATTATTTCAGTATTTTTGTATTTGTTGAGGTTTGTTTTGTGGCCCAGTATGTGGTCAGTTTTTGAAAAAGTTTCATGAGGTGCTGAGTAGAAAGTGTATTCTTTTTGGTGTTTGGGTGGAAGATGTCTGTTAGGTCCATTTGATGTATGGTATCATTTAATTCAGACGTCTCTCTGTTTATTCTTTGTCCAGTTGACCTGTCTAATGCAGACAGTGTGGTATTGAAGTCACCTACTATTACTGAGTTGGGGTTAATCTGTGTCTTAAAGTCCTGTAGTGTTGTTTTTATGAATTTGTGTGCACCAGAATTTGGTGCATACATGTTAAGGATTGTAATATCTTCTTGGTTAACTGTTCCTTTGATCAGAATGAAGTGACCCTCCTTATCTCTTTGAATTAGTTTTACTTTGAAGTCTGTTTTTTCAAATTTAGAATTGCAACCCCCAATTGTTTCTTAGTGCCATTTGCTTGGAATATTCTTTTCCATCCTTTTACCTTAAGATAGTGCCTGTCCTTGAAGGTGAGATGGGTTTCTTGCAGACAGCAAAGAGATGGATTTTATTTCTTAATCCATTCACTTAGCCTGTGTCTTTTGACTGGGGAGTTCAGTCCATTGATATTTAAGGTTATTATTGAAAGATGTGTATTGGTTTCTGTCATTTTGATTGCTGTTTGTGTTCTCTGTGTGATATTGTGTTTCCTAGGTTAAATCTTTGTTTCTTTTATTGCCCCTGGGGTATAGTTGTTTCTCTGCTCTCTGTATTTCTTCAAGTATTCTTTGAATGACTGGTTTTATGGACATGTATTCTTTCAGGCTGTTCATGTCATGCAAGATTTTTCTTTCCCCCTCAACTATAATAGACATTTTTGCTGGGTAAAGTATTCTGGGCAGGCATCTATTGTCATGTGGAACTGGAAATACCTTGGTCCAGGCTCTTCTGGTTTTCATAGTTTGCATTGATAAGTC